GTAACTAGTTCGTGTGAGATAGAATCAAATGTTATTGTGTGGGTTTTTAGAAGGTAACGATTTATATTCATTAGCGTTTTCAACGATTGATATAGAAAACGAAACGGTGAGAGAAATAGAATTCTCGGTACTTTGTAGGTTTAACATTTGTTATATACATACATTTTGTACTCGTTTGATGTAATATCCAACAAGCCATTTTACAACTGAATGACTTTGCTTCTATGCAAAGAATGCAAGAGAATAGAGCATGCCGTCTTGAATATTTGTAAACTTATCCACAAAAATTAGTTCACAAGCTCACAACAAAGTACAAATGCACCGACAATACACAATACAAGTTACATATATAGACGGATCAGTGCTCTTTAAAAGATGAATGCAATGCACACACAGGTGATTGCACCTGAAAAAATGGTAATTGATACAGTATGCTAAATATGAATTACACTACACCAAGCCATAGGGCTTTAAAAACTACACTGTATGACAATAACTGATACTTAGAGGCCCCAACCCAAATTGGGGGACTGATGTGCATGTATTGAGGGAGGGAAATGATGCATAAAGACTTGAACCACGACAAAACATTTACCGAATCAACAATCTCTTATAACAGTCACTGGGCCACATACAAAATGGCTGAATGTGACTTTCCGAAATGCTAGAGAAGCAGGCCCAGCACTCCTTTCACACACCCTTTGAAAGTAGTGGCACGTTAACTTGAAAGGGTAACGACCCGTACTGGCTGTTAGAACATGGATAAGGATAATGTGTGATAACCAAAACCCCGAAGACAGGACAAAATGGGGACCTACTAGAGGGTTCGTAAAGGGAAGATAGCATACTGAAACGCTCAACAGGGACAAAGGTGTGGTGAAAACGCCGGAGATGGATAACCTCGAAACACATTTTTTTTTAAATATTCATTGCAATAGAGACTTCCTTTCGTGTCCTTCCTATCTCATTGTCAAATGATTGTAAAATGAAATAGGAAGAAATTGGATAAGTACAACATTTTTCGAAGATCATAGTTCAATTTCTTTTTTACGTTAATATGCTCAGAATCAACAAAAGGTTTAATCCAAGGCCAAGTTTGTGTGATAGTAATAGTAACAACCACCTAAATAATGATATGCACCCATCTGTAGTCCAGGGAATATACTTAATTAATCTAAGCGGTCGACAATCGTTTTCGGCAGCAATATTCGCGTTAGGGGGATGTATGCCAATCATTCACCGTAGAAAATTTCTGTATCCATTTACAACAGCACACGCCCAATTCACTTCAGCTGGACTGAAGCTGCATACACTAGCCTGTTTTTGTTTCTTAGAATTAGGCAGCAAAGCCGGAATTACTTCAATTAGATGAAGGCATTCTCAGAGATTAGTCACAGATGGCAATCATGAAGCCGATAGCAAGTTTTTTGGCGAGGCCATCCAACGTAAATAGAATCCCAAATAGATAGCGACACGTTTTTAGTACATTCCTGAATTATTCAAACTTGTCCTCAAGAACAAGAAAGTCTTTATCTTTCATGATATGGTACAGAGCAGTGCTGGCATTTTGAAGTATCGTTCAGCTATGGGAACTTCCAAGGGTAGTTATGCATTGTACATAAAAGTTGTGTGACCATCACCGCTGAAGGTTCATTTAAAGCCAATAAGATGCTGTTCTGCACTATTGAGATTAAATGATCGGAAGGCGCTCTTTCTTTCCACTTTGCATAGGAATAAAGCTGGTGCGCTCTTTCTTTCCACTTTGCATAGGAATAAAGCTGGTGATATGAACTGAACACGCAGTAGCACACTACAGGGAGTTCCATATATCAGGAACCTTTATCTGCAATGCACGAACTCAGGCCGTGATTGGTCTTCCTGAAATGCCTTTGAAGTAGGATTGTTTGGCTTAAGAATGACATTAAAGTCTCGAATGTCTTGACGATACGTGCACCATTCGAATCCGTCTATTGCCAAGTGTTCAGAATACTCCTTGCCATAGAGTAACATATATAGAAAGCCATACATGTCTGCAGCAACCGAAATACGTCCTCTGTGGATTTGAGGTATAGACTCGGGTGTTCCAACTTATATTCACTGTCTGATCAGTGTAAACGTTAAATTTGTGTTTACATAGCCCCACTGTTTCATGAAACTTTGAATAGAAATTTTGTCTTTCAAATTCTGAAATCCATGTTGTTTCCGAGGGACACTGAATCGTACATCGAGTCTGGATAAATTCGGTTAAGAATTTTAAGAATTTTTCTCCTCGTGTCAGAAAGGGATTCATGCGTATATTTTGAATGGAGATGTAGTAGGTATATCACCAGCAGCTCTGGGAATTGCCGGTGTGACTTCAACACTGGGTTTGACGTCAGAATTTCCGGTCCCTTGCCTCGTGCAGTAATATTTCTGAGGGTTTACACCGTTCTATGGGCATAGTTTGTCCCTAACACGAGAACCGTATTTCCTTTGACTACTTCTGTTGTTCTTGCACTTCGTCGGCGTTGTTGATGGTGTCCGCTGGGGTGTGATCATGACCATCCCCTGCATATCGTTTCATTCTCAGTATCACCCGCTGGTTGGCCGTTGTTTGCCATATTGCTGCGTCGGCGGCTTACCCGAAGGATTCTTGAAATTTTTAATACTCAGACTTATCATCCAGCAGCAATTGGCTACCAGTTTTTTATATAGAATTTTCCAGTTGCATTTTTCTGCAAGCTGATCTCCCTACAAGTTTGAAACTATAATCAGTCATCCAAGTGATCAAAATTGTAAGTATTTTTTAATACACCTATCTACGTACATCTACATGTTACGTTTATCCATAAAGTTGATGATTATGCAACGACGGGAACAGTCAGTAAGTGTTCAACGCGACATATCAGAAAACGGGAGCGATGTGAAGATATAATTTTAATTAGATTGGTTCTAAATTCTAATCTATGCACAAATCTGGTTTCACTTACTGACTGTTCCCCCCGTTGCATAATCGTCAACTTTATGGAGCAACGTACCATGTAGATGTACGTAGATAGATGTATTAAAAAAAAATACTTACAATTTCGATCACTTGGATGACTGATTATAGTTTCAAGCTTGTAGGGAGATGAGCTTCAACGCGACATATCAGGAAACGGGAGCGATGTGAAGATATAATTTTAAATAGATTGATTTAGAACGAAACTATGAAAAAGAACATATCATCTTAAACAATAAGGTTTAGAAGATATACGAATACGTTATGAATAAAATGTAAAAAGAAAGAGAAAAAACAAGGGTGCTGCTTACACGGAGTATATCTGAAGCCGTGATTTGAAGGCATTTAGACGTGGAGAAGAAACTATATATGGAGGAAGAGAATCCAGAAGGAGACAGAGTGAGGAAAGAAGCTGAACTTATAATATTCTGTTTTTGTCCGAGAGGGTTTGTATGTGTGTGCGTGTCTTGATGTTTTAAATAACTGTCAGAATTAATGGCTTTGTGGGTTTTTTTTTCATTTTACATAACATGGTCATCCTTGCTTTGTTTCCCCTGCATTCTAACGTGTCCCAACCCAATTGATCCGACATGGAGGTGACGCTGCTGGTGGTAACGCTCTTCTTTGCATCCCATCAACGCTGTGTTCGAGTTCTTTGGTGTGTGGGGTCCATATGGTGGACCAGTACTCCCAAGCTCGATCTCACCATAGCTTTATATGATGATGCTTTGGTTTCTTGATTATTAATTTTGAGGTTCCTTCTTAACAACCCAAGCATCTTGTTAGCTTTGGATGTGACTTCTTGGAATCCAATATTCTAAAGACGGTGGCCAGTCTAGCACTATATGGCGCATGCTCCAGCATTTTGTCTCATTTCTTGATTGGCAATGATTTAGTCATGATGGCTTGAATTAATCAAGCAACAGTTAACTTCAAACAAGAGGCCCAGAGGGCCTGTATCGCTAACCTGGATATCAAAAGTAATCATGGCAAAATATTCTCCAAACAAGATCCAAGGAAATGGGCCAGACACCAAGGCCAATCCTTGTATCATATCTGTATTCGATTCTTCATGCCCAGCAATTTTATGTATGGTTATGGGGTGGGGATCTCAACTGTTTCCAAGGTGTGATTCAGAAACTAGGTCCTTAGGGTTGTGGCCAGACCCCAGGATCAATTATAATCCAACAGTTGTATATATAGTTTTGAGGTGGGGGTTTCAAAATTATGACTCAGGAGTTAAGCCTCCAAGGGTGGGTCAGACCCTGGGGTCAATTCTTATATCATGACTGCATTCATCTCTTTATGCCCAGCATTTGTATATACAGTTTTGGGGTGGGGATCTCAACCGTTTCGAAGTTATGACCCAGGGACTATGTCTCCAAGGGTGGGGCCAGACCCCTGGAAAATCCTGGAAGCATATGTGCATTCTTCTCTTCATACTCAGCAATTGTATATATGGTAATAGGGTGGGGATCTCAACCATTTCCAACTAATAAACTATTTTTTGCCCCACCCTTTAGCCAAGGGGGTCAACCCCACTACTTGTACAATTTGAATCCCTGCCTCCCATGAATGCTTCCAACCAAATATGATTATTATCCAGTGCATAGTTCTACAGAAGTCATTTATAGCAATATAGCCAAATTGTCCCCTTTTGGCCCCACCCCTTAGTCCCCTAGGGGGTTAACCCTACCATTTGTACAATTTTGAATCCCCACCACCTCGGGATGGTTCCCGTCAAATTTAGTTAAATTCCAATCAGTAGCTTAGACGTCGTTGGAAGAAATTGTTGACGTACAGACCATGGACGACGGACGCCACGGTATGGGATAAGCTCACCTTGGACCTGCGGACCCGGTGAGCTAAAAATGGATGCATCAACAAATCAGGTACAGACGGTTCTGTTACTCTGGTCGTATCGGTACTCTGGTCGTATCGGTACTCGTACAAGACATTTCGGTACTTCCAAAAATTCTTTCTGATCTTTTACAAGATTTATTGCAAATAAAGCCAATGGAAACATTGAAGCAGCCAAAAACGTCTACACATCAAATGCACAGGAAGGCACACACACAAGGTTTTGTTTTCTTTAACGATAGCAAATCCCACATTAGTTGCCTCCTATTACCCAATCGCTGACCTGCAGTGGTGAGCAGGCGTGCACATATGAGGAGGTATTTAGTTAAGTGCATAGGACTAGTAATAAAAGCTTGATTAGTTAGCTTGTGCAAAATTCTCAGATCACACAATGTTTATTGTATATCTTTACATTGAAAAGGTTCCAAGAATAAATAAGTCTGAAGGCAAAAATTATTGGTGATATATTGATAATGAAAATATTTGTTGATTTCCAGACATTTCTCAAAACCAATTTTTCAAAATTTACATTTACATGATATTAAGCTAACCAGGCTTTGATTAAATGTGTTATGTTATCTAAATTGTAAAACAGCTATCTCAGTCTCAAATTTAACATTGTCCTATTCAGCCACAATAAAACAATCATTTTTTATCATCTTTATTATAAAAATTCTGTTGACCCATGTCCAAATCTGGTGTTAAGCTTCTGAGATTTCTTAATGATCGATTTCTTCTGAGCTTCATCAAATTTGTTAACTTGAAGGTCGAGATCTCTGTCGAATGGCCGCCTTTCCTTTGGTCCGTCATCTTCATTTTTCTGCAAATTTAATGAAACACAATTAAAATAAGAGACAATGAATTTTAACACTTCATAATGAATGTTGATGAGATATTAATGACACAGTGAAACCTTACATTTTAATGATAAACATTAACGACAAAAATAATTCTAAGTACATTTCATAATGAATATTAATGGTAAATATTGATAAAACAGTGACAAGAGTACATTACATCATGAATATTGATGAGAACACGATGAAAGCATGAATATTAATGAGAAAATGACAGAGCACATAACATAATGAATATTAATGAGAAAATTATAAAAGGACACTAAATAATGAATATTGATGTTACCATTATATCATCATTACCTTTTCATTCTTAAGCTTTTTCTCGTGCATGTCCATCAGCGATTCAGGACGTTTGGATTTCTATAAAAAAGAAGAGTAGACTGTCATTGAAACAAAGCCCTGGGGAAGATCTCAAACCAGAAAACATTTTTTTTTTTTTTTTTTAAATTTTCAATTAAATGCTATTCAACTTGCACTGTTGCATTGTCAGCTTTAAGGACAGAGAATTTTTGCTGCAACATGAATCTCCAAACCAAAATGGCTCAATAATAATAAAAAGATCTCTAAATTTTATTTACAAAACAATGATAATTTGGACTTATATCAATGAAGACACTTTTAATGGATACACCAGTATGTATACTACTTCAATTTAAATCTGGCATGGCTAATGACTATTAATATGCTATATACAGCAACAGACTCTAGGCGTTAATCAGGGAGGATATTATGGCACTTTTTCACTTTAACCTGGGTGGTTATGTTAATATCGAGAAGATTTTTAAAAAGCCATCAGAAGTTACATTATATTCCTCAATCTGCTTCCTCAGCTTCTTGTCACGTTTTGATGGACAATAACCTTCACGGCTCCTCTTACTTCCTTTTTCTGTCCCAGTTATCTCTTCCTGTGTAATAAGGACGATGTTTCATATTATTATTCTACACATATATTGTATATATTAAACATTAAATATTGATTATGAATTTAAGCAACACTTTTTCCTAGTTTTGTGTGGATGAGATTCAAAGAATGGCATTATTGGGAAACAAACTTCTGTTCATGTCAAGAAACAGTAAAACTGTTAAACACTCATATTACAGAGTTACAATTTTGGCCCCTGGTGAGAAACATGCACATCAAACACTATTACATGTATACACAAATAAAATTTTCCAGTAGAAACTGAAGAGGCAACTTAGTGTAGTCTATATATACGGCGATGCATTGTTACTACTCTACATACCTGTAGTAAACCCTGTCTACTTACATTCAGTTTCTTTTCCTTTTCCTCCGGAGTATCAGTCCACGCAGATCTGTCTGTGAGGTCAGGACCTGCGTTGGCCCTGAAAGTGCGTGCACTTAGTCCTATGCTCTGTCCAAGCTTGGTTGATGGCAACTCAGTCATCCAAGATTCCCTAGCAATCTTCTCTTCCTTGCTGTCCTTCAAAATAATAGAAGAAATTTAACAGGCCATTTAATAAGTATGTTTTGGCGTCCTGATATCAACTGTTTCTCTCTCTATACATAGAGAATAATACATGCCTTTTTCCATATCACACCCAGTATCAACCCAACACTGCAATATCAGCCCCCAGGGCTGATATTGGTCGAGGAAATATTCTTTTGAAATATTGAAAATTGTGTCGTATCGCATATACAAAAAAAAAGGTATTTATTAGTAAGTATGTAATAAATTGTGTATATATATATGGACCTACATGATTTGACACAAATTTTTAAACTCATTGTAAAATCATATCACACTGTACCCAATATATTATATGTAAAAAGTAACTGTAGAAGCTTAAACTTAGTAACAACTAGAACTTTTACTTTGTACCCCTTATATTTCATTAAAAGTAACAATGTTATTGCCCAAGCTTACATGTACACTTATAAACAACTAGAAGTGTAAACTCTAGGCTAAACTTATTGTGAAATGTCCCTGGAAGCTCATTGTCTTATTCTGGTTTATTGTGAAACGATATCCACATTTTCTTCTGGCATCATATTTTCGTTTGTATCAATTCAGTTAATATAATAGAATCTTCTTGAAATCAGATTCCAAGTGTCTAATATCGAAACAAATCAAAAAGTTTACTTTTCACTTAATTGTTAACCATATTACCTTTCCTTCAAGTCTGTCTCTCATTTTCTTTGCACGTTCTTCAAACTGGTAGGCGGTATAGCCAGCGGAATCCCCTCTGTCCATTTCTGTAGGGAGTGGCCCAATAGTTTCCTCATCAGCCGAGGATTCATCAGAGACGTCTCCCCGGTGTTTTGTAAAGCCAGGTGGAAGTGCAGGACCTTTGACCATTGGTCTAAAACTCTCTAGATCTGCTGATCCAGAGACTGGCCGTAGGTGTGGGGGTAGCACCGGTCCAATAATCTCTTTCTCCACTGAACTCTTTCTCACCTCAGCTTTATGTTGCCCGAAGCCAGGTGGAAGAGCCGGACCAATGTTATCATTTTCTGGCTGTGTTTGATGTGATTTTATTTTTGTCTGTTTCAATGATGGTGGTAATGCTGGTCCTATAGAACCATCATTGTCATTATCTGAACTTGAATCTTGATAATCTTCCTTAGATGTTTGAAATGTCTGATCTTTTGATTTCTGACTTGAAAACCCTGTAAATACAATCATTGAAATAAGAAAAACAAGCAAATTTGTGGAAATTAATAATAATAATATAATATTATTTGCTAGTTATTAAGCGGAAACTGCAGATAATGACTCCGCCTAATCGAGTCCGATTAAATAGGTCATCGAACTTGGCTGAGCCTTTAAGGCATTTAACCCTGTTACCAAGTTTGAAGAGAATTGGTTAACATTTGTTGCAGTTATTGCAAGGAAACGGCAGATACTGACGTTTTTCATTATTCAAGGGGCCATAACTCCGCCAAATAAAGTTGGCTGAAAGTGGTCATCGAACTTGACCGAGCCCTTAAGTCATTGAACCCTGTTACCAAGTTTGAAGAAATTGGTTCACATTTGTTGCAGTTATTGCACAGAAACGAAGTGTGACAGACGAACAAACCCAAATTAATCGGTGAAAGCGGAGGATAATAAGGTTCTGTATAGGTGATTAGCATTCAAATCTCAGACAGGGATTGGTATATAGAGGGATTAGCTGAAGAGATTAATCACTTCATTTCATGACAATCGCTCAAAGTAATGAGAATTACAACTATTCATCCCCACCTCAACTAATTTGTTATGAACAGGATTTATATTGTTTTGTAAGCATTTTTTTTTTTATTAATCTACAATGTAGTTGATGCAATCTATGATACATCACAGGCACTGGCAAACTGAGAACTATGTTTATTCAATGGTGCAAATGGCATGAGTGTAATAGACTACCTTATTGTGACTCCTGTATATGTATACCATGTATTAACAAATTTATTGTATGTAGTTTTACTGAATACTCTGACCACGCACCTTTACATATTGAGATACAAACGACTCGATCACGGGATAATCTGATAAATGATGATATAGCTGGAGAGCGCAGGCCTAGATACAAATGGGACGAAACTAGTAGAGAACAGTGTTTAATTGCTGTAAGAGAGCGAATTGATAATATTAATGAGGCCGCAGGTATCGAGGGTGTGGCTACACAGGATACTGTAAATAAGAGTGTTGACAAATTTACGCTTGAGTTACTACAAATACTATCACCGTTTACAACTGTGAGGTCACGCGGGTCAGCACGTGCGGCGAGGTCAATGGACGAGTCCATTCAGCCTAAACCACATGTTTGTAAAGAACACAAGCCCTGGTTTGATGAACAGTTACACGCCCTCCGGGGACGTTACCTATCGGCCTTGTACATTTTTAATAGAGACAAATGTTTTACAAATCACGAATTATTGGTGAGAAAGAAGCGAGAGTATAAATGCGCGGAGGCGAAATGTAAGAGACAATATATGAAGCTCGAAGGGGATATGATGGAACATTTACGGAAAACAAATCCGAGATATTTTTATAAAAAGTTTTCAAGTAAAAAACATGTGACTCCACCAGTGACGGTGGAATTTTTTTTCAATCATTTCAAGGATGTGGCCACTAAGCCAGAATTGGCTGGTAATAACCCACAGGATACTTTAAATGAAGACAGTGATGACTCTTCGCCTGTTTTCGACGAACTAGACTGCGTTATAACTACAGAGGAGATCAGAAGTGCTATTTAACGCTTAAAAAGAGAAAAGGCCCATGGTTTAGACGGTCTATTGAATGAATATTTCATCGAAGCTAGTGACCTTCTATTACCCGCTTTGAAGACTATTTTTAACAATGTATTTAATTCCGGATGTTTCCCTGAAGACTGGTCGACCACGATGATTGTACCTGTGTTTAAAAAAGGGGATAAGCGAAACCCGAACAATTATCGTGGAATCAGCCGGTTAAGTAGTATGGCCAAATTGTTTACGTCTATATTGAACAAACGACTGATAGACTGGTCAGAGGCTAACGATATAATTACCGATGCCCAGTTTGGTTTTCGCCCAGGAACTAGTACAGCTGATGCAATTTTTGCGCTTCATACTATCATTACAAAATCCTTAAATGTTAGTAAACGTTTATATTGTGGTTTTGTTGATTATCAGAAGGCGTTCGACTCCGTCGACCGCTGCAAACTATGGTATAAATTGTCTAAGCTTGGTGTTCGAGGGAAATTGTTAATTATTATTAAAGCTATGTATAAACATGTTAAATCATGTGTAATTACAAATGGCAAATGTTCTGATTTCTTTGTAAATAATATGGGCCTCGCTCAGGGCGAAATTATTTCCCCCATTATGTTTTCAATGTATGTGAATGATTTTGAAAATGACTTTGTATTAAATGGAATCAAAGAGTATGAGTTTGGAGAGCTTAGTCTCTTTCTATTAATGTATGCCGATGATTTAGTACTAATCGCTGAATCAGTTCAAGATTTACAATGTATGTTAAATAATTTGTATGTTTATGCAAAGACGTGGAAATTAACTGTAAACACGGCCAAGACAAAAATTGTTGTTTTTAGAAATGGTGGCCGGTTACGAAATGATGAGGTGTGGTCTTACGATGGAAAACCATTAGATGTTGTTGAACAGTTTACATATTTGGGAGTTGTTTTTAAATTTAACAATAAGTTTAATGCTGTACAAAAGCAACTCTCTGAGCAAAGGCGAAAGGCTATATTTGCATTGTATGCTAAATGTAAAAATATGAATCTAAACTGTCATACGTTGGTAAAGTTATTTGATACATACGTGAATAGTATACTGTGCTATGCATCTGAAGTTTGGGGTGCATGCAAAGGCAATGATGTCGAGAATGTCCATTTAGAATTCTGTAAAAGGATTTTATGTGTTAAAAAGTCCACTTGTAATGTTATGATTTATTTTGAACTGGGTCGATTCCCTATTATATATACCCGGCTTTATAATATGATTAAATATTGGTTCAAGTTATTGAATGCCAAGAACTGTATCTTGAAAACTGCCTATGATGAATTATTGAAAATGCCCAAGCGTAATAATGTTTTTAATTGGTTGTCCTTTGTGAAGGATAAACTTTTTTCACTCGGGTTTGGTGATGTGTGGTTAAATCAAAATTTTCGTAATATATCTGAGGTTTTACCACTTATTAAACAACGAATTTTTGATCATGCTAGACAAGAACTTTCTGAAATGTTAGAGAATTCACCAAAATGTCACTTGTATAGACATTTAGTAAATACTATAACATTACAACATTATCTATGTAAATATATACCCAAGAAACATAGAATTGCACTTACAAAGATACGTTTGTCTGCACATACATTGCATATTGAAACAGGACGATATAGAAATATTGTAAGGAATGAACGCTATTGTAAAATATGTAATTCTGTAGATATAGAGGACGAATATCATTTTTTGCTTATCTGTCCTATATACCAAGAGTTCAGATCAAAGTGTGTAAAAATGTATTACTGGAGAAAACCATCTGTTCTTAAGTTAATACAATTACTGTGCTCAACAAATGTAAAAGAACTAACCAGGTTTAGCAAATATATATATGACGCCACTAAATTGAGGAAGACTGATATAATGACATTTAAATGTGTCAAATCTTTCGTCCATTCTCTACTGCGTTTTACAGTGTCTGCCAATGTATTTATATTGTTACATGTACACTGATGAGCTGGAAAGCTTAAAGTTAATAAAGAATGAATGAATATGTTTATTTAGTAAAGACAGATATTTTTATTAGCATATAAAGGCTAAGGTAATATACATGTATATTAGTTCAAGTTGTTATTAAAATTAACAATTGGATTGACAAAAAGGAAACAACACACGTTTTCTCGACAACCTTTCTCCCAATGTACTCATGATCAACTGATGTTTCAAAAACAACAGCACTAGAAACTAACTAATTTTCACATAGAATTTGTACTCCAACAATGTCAGAGGTTTAACATGGCGAGATATACTTTTTGACATGGGCTATGTCACAGTCAGCATAATTGCATCTGATGGGGGGAAAACGTCCAGCGATCTCTTATTTTGTATTTGATAAGTGCATTTTGAAGCCCTCATCACAAGCTAAAACATACGCCAACTTTTACCTTTTATCTATATACCTATATACCCTGCACAAAAAACCCCTAATCACTGTAAATAACCCCTTTTGTTCACGCCTCTGTGATAGGACCCCCGAGGGCATAATCATCAGCACATTGATGAAGTCCCTGCACCCCAAAGAAGAGTAGAACAGAAGAAGGTATTTCAGAGTATTGGAAGAAGATTCTAAAATAACGTTAAATAAAAACACCTCCTGCTCCTTTCATGATATGCAATATAAGGACCAAAACTGAGAATATGTACCCGGAGGAAGAGCTGGTCCATATTCTTCTTCTGACATCTTGACATGTGTTATAAGTAAAAAAGTTATCGAGTTACAAATTTTAGTTGTACATGGTCGCCATATTTGAGCTCACGCCGAATATTTTTAAAAGCTGATTTGCGATTAGTCCGAGTATGAAATCTAAACCAATCAAATACTCTGAGACAAACAGTTTGAATATAGGCTACTTCCGGTAATAAGGTACTTCCTGTTTTACAACGCACACGTGTGTATCGTAAACAAACTAAGTTGACGTTTTTCAGAACTGTCATGCCGAAGAATAAAGGAGGAGGTGGAGGTGGAAAAGGTGGTAAGGGGGGCTCAAAGGGAGCTGAAGGCGGTGGAGGTGAAAAGGAGAAAAAAGGTGGAACCGCTGTCAAAGTAAGATAATAAATGAGCTACAACACAATATGCCATCAAGTCATGACTGATGACAGTTGAACTTTGGTGTTATGATCATGACGACACAGACACTTCAAATTCAATTTCGAAAAAAATATGGGAATGCCTATATTTAGATCCATAATAACCAGAAAATGTAGAACATAAATATATGTTCAGTCATGAAATGCAAAATAGCAACATACATATTTCAGTTACAAATTTGTTTCAAACAAATTTTACCATTTACATAGATCTATATCTTTAACTGTTCTGTCAATCAGTTGATTACACTGAGTTTTGTATGAAGTCATTGCATCCATACGCGCATGAACACCGCAAAACTTTGTTCAGTCCATATGAAGATCACAGTAAACTGCTCGTTGAAATGATTAAATGAAACTTTCAACTAAATCCACCATTTGTCTAGAAGTATTGAACAGATAAATATATATATTAGACATCTTTTATTAACTGGATTCAAACTGCAAATCAAGGTCTTTCTAGTTTCAGTACTTCACAGTACTGTACAGGTGAAACCAAGCTTTAGAACTATAGAAGATTACTAATAAAACTTTGAACTAAAACTTTCCCATCAATGATGTACTGATGAACACCATTAAGTATATACCCAGTATGTATAAATTAAGGGAAAGTCAAGTGAGTTTAAACTAATGATTTGCAAAGCAAAATAAAGTAATGACTAAGGCATTGAAGAGCTGTTGGTCTACGATATATAAATCCATATTAATTATATCTAAAAAGAGCTTCTTCTTTTTAATAGTACTTTCCATTAATTTACACACAATTAAGTGAGATAGCAGGCTGATGATGTTGATACTTAGAAATAGTACACTCTTTAAGAGTACAGTCAGAGCGTTGGCACTTAGATATCAAGGGTTGACACTCAGAGACTGGATTAAACTAAAGAAACATGGAAATAATAATAATTGAAAGAGCTAGAAGTTAGAAACAATAAACAATGAATTGTATAGGACTTGAGCTAATTTATTATTCCCCATACCATGTAAGAATCAGGCAGTCACATATTTCAGTCATATACAATATTAATACATATTTATATATATACATATATGATTTCCTCGTCTGTTATTTAAGTACGTAAGTATGCAGAGTAATTGATTTTAGACGAGACATTTATAGGTTATGTTACGTAAGTACATTTATGGTTTTTTGTCTTATTACAGGTGAGACATATTCTATGTGAGAAACAGTCTAAGGTTTTAGAGGCTATGGAGAAGTTAAAGAGTGGGGTTAAGTTCAACGAGGTGGCAACAAATTACAGTGAGGATAAAGCAAGACAAGGGGTTAGTATTCAATATACTTGTTCATTTATTTTAACGAGGTTTGCGAACATGTCAGAGGCTACATCCTCCTCCACACAATGTATGCAGTCAAGTTCATATACAATTATGGGGTAGGTACTTATACAGTATGTTATTGATAATAATTATTAATAATAATTCCGAGGATTTCATATACCGCTTTATCACAACTTAGGTTGTCTCAAATGGGTTCACAAATTATTATCTGTGGTAATAGGGCCTGGGCAACCAGCCAATATCTTTCTCAACTCCCTGGGAAGTATACAGCCGGTGCTGCCATTTCAGTGCTCACAGCTAGCATTCAACAATTCCAGCACTGCCCAGCCACATACTTATTTACAGCTGAGTAGACTGGAACAAGCGGAGTCAAGTATCTTGTCCCAGGGCACAACACAGTGTCGTAACTCGAACCCGCAACCCTACGGTCTTGAGCCTGGCGTCCTACCACTAGACTACTGTGCCAACTTAATATACATCAAATCCTAAGTCACAACTGTTTAAAAAAAGTGTAGTACATGTTACTCAGTATGACTATTTTGCCCGATGAAGGAATTATCTTTGTTACCTATTTTGTATAATATATTAAAGGGTAACTTTGGTTCACAGACTTACCTGTCTTTTTTACTGTTTTCTCTGATAAAGGGTGACCTCGGCTGGATGACCCGAGGTAGTATGGTTGGCCCCTTTCAGGACGCAGCCTTTGCCCTTCCGATCAGTTCCCTAGGCAATCCTCACTACACTGATCCACCAGTTAAAACGAAGTTTGGCTATCACATCATCATGGTTGAGGGAAAGAAGTGACAACTGGACTCTTTAACTTTTTACTCTATGCCGAACATTGCATGTATGGTAACTGATGTTACTGATAAGTCAGTTTATGTTGTGGACAGAAAGGAATGGAAGGGAATTTTTACATTTGATTGTGTCAAGTATGCTGAAAATAGCTCTTTATAACTTTGAAATAGAAGAAACAACCCTTCAATTTGTATTTTAAACCTTCTAGCTCTTTGGATGTTCAGTTCAGCAAATCGGATCGTACTACCTAGATTGAAATAAACAAATGTATGTTTTTTATTGAGACCGTGATATTTTGTATAAAGAATGAAGGATATATTGTGATGCGGTAATGGAGAGCAGTAGTAAACAGGTATATTCTACTATCATTACTAATATATCAGCAGGCAGCTGCACTTAGTAATGGCTTGACAAAGGAAATATATCACCTCCCTTCTTTTTAATTTTAAGATTGTCCCGGCTAAGAAATAATGACATGCTCTCATAAGGAATAGTTTTTATACGTAACAATGTCTTCCTTTAACTTCACATTAAGTAATTGTATACATTGTATTTACATGGGGGAGATTCTGGATGCTCAAAATTGAAATGTGTGCATATACCCCCTAGAGACACATGACCCTTTAAAATGACATTTTGAGTTGTTCTTTCAGATGAAATCAGTAGATTTTAGATTAAAAGAATATTTTAGCAAACTCTCTGGTTGAAAATACTAACTTCAGGGGAAATTAGGAGTGTCCTTCCTAAATAGGGAGAGAGTTGGCAAGTATGCATATTGAAAATATTAATACATTAAGTATGACCAACCAAATTTACTGTTGTTTTTCCCCCATGATTAATAAAAAAAAATACCAGTCTATTCCAGAAAATATTGTTGTAAAGGATTGTTGTTGTAAGCTTTATTACGGGAAATTCTTTTGGGATGTGTTTTATTGACGGTTGTCTTGGTTTTAAATAATTTGTATTCCAATCTTAATTTTGTCTTATCAAGGGTTTTCTTTATCAATTTTTTGCTGTTACCGTAAACTTCTGATTTTTTGACAATTGAAATAAGATTTATTTGTGGGGTCCAAATTTTGTGGTTTCCCGGAGAGAAAAAAATTCGTTGGTACATGAATTTGTGGATTACAAGGTACAGAGAATTGTTTTTTGTCAAACTTGTAATTACTTTGTGGACCTTTGAATTTGTGGAGGCAGATTACCCATGAAATCAACGAAATTAAAAAACTCCACAAAAATAAGTGATTTCTCATTACATTTATACCTGTACTTGGCAAGGAAGAGTTCTATAAACAGTATACATTGCACTATGTGTATGATACAGTGTATTCAATACTGTTTATCATTTTCAGGTGGTTGTATTTAATAAATCATAGAATATAATTTCTTTGATATTAACAATTCATATACCAACAGTGTTGAATTGAAACACAGGGTTTCTTGAACCAAGACAGAATTACCTGTATGCTAAGGAAAATGACAGGTATGTGAAGAAGAATGGCATGTACCATACAGTAGGTACCCAGTATATGAAAATAAAGAAAAGTAATAAATTTAATGTGTCCTGTTTTTTATCCAATTATTATATCAATCAACCAAATAATGATTTGTACTGTATACAAAAGAAAGAGGTACATTGTACTGTAAACAATAGAGAGAGGTACATTGTACTGTATACAATAGAGAGGTACATTGTACTGTATACAATAGAGGTACATTGTACTGTATACAATAGAGAGATAGGTACATTGTACTGTAAACAATAGAGAGAGGTACATTGTACTGTATACAATAGAGAGGTACATTGTACTGTATACAATAGAGAGGTACATTGTACTGTAAACAATAGAGAGAGGTACACTGTACTGTATACAATAGAGAGGTACATTATACTGTATACAATAGAGAGGTACATTGTACTGTATACAATAGAGAGGTATATTGTACTGTATACAATAGAGAGGTATATTGTAATGTATACAATAGAAAGGTACATTGTACTGTATTCAATAGAGAGGTACATTGTACTGTATACAATAGAAAGGTACATTGTACTGTATTCAATAGAGAGGTACATTGTAATGTATACAATAGAAAGGTACATTGTACTGTATACACTAGAGAGGTACATTGTACTGTATACAATAGAGAGGTACATCGTATAAAAATATCACCCATGGCCACCGTACTCTGCTACCCTGGTCTTAATTTTGCCAAATTTCACCAAATCGTGTCACATGGAGGTGTCAACCGTCGTGAACAATGCCACCAACAGCATTGCTACAGCCAAAGCAACAGTCTAGTAGAAGATGTGCGATTTGTTTTGCCATTATGTGAAGATTTTTTGCACTTAAGTGGAAAAACGACTTTTTTGCTCTTAAGTGGAAAAACGACTTTTTTGCACTTAAGTGGAAAAGTGTTGCGCTACATAATGACATAAATGTGGTTTGCCATAATGTGTAGATATTTTGCACTTAAGTGGAAATACGACCTTTTTTTGCACTTAAGTGTAAAACATGCAGAAATGAAGCCTCAGCATGTGACAAACAAAAATTCCTTGCTAAGAATTAACACTGGTATGACAATGTTTAACATGCGGAGGCTTTCAAAAATTGAAGAGCTTTTAGTTATTTTCCTTCAAAATGGCCAATTTTCAACCAAATAGCACACAACAGACAGTATTCATGCATTTTATCAAGAAAATGTTTGTTATGTCTCTCTTTGTAATGCCATATATCCTAAACCAGTTGTCGATTGAGTTTGAAATTTCATATTTGCCTACTTAACTTATTCCAGATTACAAATATAACAACTAATCCTAAATCCCCGATTAGGCTGGAAACGACCCTTAAAGACCCTAGGCTTTTTTTAATGATAAAAACTAGGTCAAAAATATACAAGAATCGAGTTGGCTCCCTTTTCATTTCAATGACTGGACTTGTACAAGCCCCATATACATCATCTTAAATATGTAGCCGTTTGCAAATTAAGGGGTGTGCCACCACTGTATCAGTTTTGGTAATAAAATGTTCACTCTGGACCACAATTAACTTTCATGGATGTTAACATTAACATTGTCTAGCGAAATATCACAGGTAATGTAGAGAAAACACATTATTGAACTTCTTCACAGACAGTCAGATAGGGTTATAATAATAATAATATTTATTCAGGTAAAATAGGCATATTACAATACATAAATATCACAGAGTAGAGTACAGTACAACATTAAATTTTGCAAATGTACTTGTACCTTAAAATACCAACAATGAGCACTAGTTAATATGTGAGATCAATAGATTAGATTTTTTTACCGAAATTGCAGCCTTTTACCTAGGATAACCCAAAAAGCTAAAAGCTTATTTCCATTGGGGTCCTTTAAAAGAAACTAAAGTACAATTTTAAAATTGAATATTTGTGTTATACATTATTTGATACATTTGTGGACATCATTCATAAAATAAACTGCTATTCCATTAGAACATGATGGTCAGTTTAAAAGTACACACAATACTTTTCTTCTATTTGAATGTGAAACATACAGTAAAATATTCAATAATCTAAAACATAGAATCATATTAAAAGTACACATATTCACTTTCTTGTTTCCCTTACATAAGCTCCTGTAAATGACAGGATATAAATAATATTTTCACTTTTGATGTTTTCAGGAAGTGAATTCCAATCTTTGGTACCAGAAAAAATAAAAGTTGTAGTTTCAGAACCTTTTATATTAGGAATAATAAAATTACATAGATTTGAGCGATTACTATATATATATACGGACATGGATGCCTGTTAAAAAATTGATACATATATTGAGGAGCTTTTCCATAGAAAATATTGAACATATGGTTAAGTCTAAGTTGCCTTGCCCTGGTATTGATTTCCAGCATGTTTACACAGCTTAAATCTTGGTATGACAAACTGTGTCTATTATGTACATTTAATATAAATCTTATCACCTTGTTTTGTGCCACTTGTAGATTTTTTTTGATTTTTTTTGACAGTCCTTCATACCAACTAGCACTTGCATAGTCAAAGTGGCATAGAACAAGTGCAGAGCACATTGGGTCTTCCTGGATTTGAAAGACAAACAACTACTATTCCCCTACAGAATTTTTAATCTCTGATTAACATTTTTAATTATGGAATCAACAGTCTCTTCACCAGATAACAAGTTGTTAATATATATACCAAGATATTTTACACGCGATGTAACTGAAATACTATGATTATTACATGGTTGTCCATTTTCTCAGTCAGCTCAAACATTCATAGCTGCTCTGGAGTCCACCTGGATTTTGAGCAGGTCCGTTACATGACAACAGTCATTGATCAGCTGACACTTCACCTATGGAACAAACACAGCAAGGTACAATGGCACAAGTTGTTGCATTGATCTAGATCTCCATGTTCTCCATAGTGGCCTATAAAAGCTGTCGCAAACCTTCATTAGTGGATCTACAATGTAACAATAACTGATCCATTGTCTAGTTGTCGACTCCTGATATTAACTGAAGTTGCGAAGAGGCAGAAAAGATGTCCAAAACAAGATGTCAATACCACACTGGGGAAAGATAACCATTGAAGATTTCCCATCCACGAAGTCATGTGTAAACAAGCCCTTCACCTATATAAAACAGAAATCAGATTATTATAAATGTTAAAGGCAAAAAATGAACAGTAGATTTCTATTTTAAATAGATAATGATTGTATGAAAATTTATTTTTAACAGTTTCTGGATACTTTCGGTTAATAACAAACATATACACACTAATAAATAACAGCAACACCTTTTACCCGCTGTTTATACACATTCTAAAACCTTATAAAAATTGAGTTTTTATAAGGTTTTAGAATGTGTATAAACACCGAATATAACAGCAACACTGTTTATCCCAAAACCGAGCCCCTGTGATGCCTCGGCCAGGAGTCGAACACGGGACCTCTAGTTTACTAGTCTTATGTACGCTCTACAATTGAGCTAAAGAGAAACTCTCTCTTGGCAAGTCTGCAGGATGCGGCTAGTATTTTACTAAGGTGACATACCTCCCCTCGTGAAAAGAAAATGCATGCAATGATAATACACAAATATTTAAATTTGAAAAAGGAAGTGCATGTGGCCTTTTTCTTGAGATAATCGTCTGCATGTGTCACCAATGTCAAAAATAAACTTCCGGGTCAGGGGTAGAGGTAAACACAGGACTTTTCACACAGCACCCTGCACCAAAAAATAAATGCACAATATAACAAGAGGCCCAGAGGGCCTGTATCGCTCACCTGAATATATGTTTAAAATAATTGGTATGAAGTAAAGATATAGCACTCCATAGTATGTGCTGTAAGAACATATGAAATTTCAGAAAGATCCATCCAGTACTTGAGATATACCGAGAACAAACTTTAAACAGAGCCCCACCCCTATGCCCCTAGGGGGTCATACCCACTGCTTATACAAAATTGAGACCCCTTGGTCCAAGGATGCTCCAGACTAAATATGGATAAAATCCCTTGATCCCTATGGTAGAAGAAGGATTTTAAAGGTTTTACCTCTATTACTCCTATTGGGCCCANATGGAACAAATCCTTCCATTCCTACAGAAGAAGAAGGATTTTGAAGAATTTGCTATATTTCCCCTATTGGGCCCGGCCCCTCAGCTCCCAGGGGGGCCAGACCCACCATTTATACAAACTTTGTTCCCCTTCGCCCAAGGATGCTTCTGACCAAATATGGACCAAATCCTTTCATTCCTACAGAAGAAGAAGGATTTTGAAGAATAATTTGCTATGTTTCCCCTATTGGGCCCGCCCCTCAGGCCCCTGGTAAGCAAGACCCATGGTTTATACAAAATTGGTTCCCGACTACCCAAGGATGCTCCGCACCAAATATGGACCAAATCCTTTCATTCCGACAGAAGAAGAAGGATTTTAAAGAATAATTTGCTATATTTCCCCTATTGGGCCCCGCCCCTCAGGCACCTGGGGGGGCCAGATTCACGGTTTATACAAAATTGGTTCCCTTTCACCCAAGGATGCTTCAGACCAAATATGGAACAAATCCTTCCATTCCTACAGAAGAAGAAGGATTTTGAAGAATTTGCTATATTTCCCCTATTGGGCCCGGCCCCTCAGCTCCCAGGGGGGCCAGACCCACCATTTATACAAACTTTGTTCCCCTTCCCCCAAGGATGCTTCTGACCAAATATGGACCAAATCCTTTCATTCCTACAGAAAAAGAAGGATTTTAAAGAATAATTTGCTATATTTCCCCTATTGGGCCCCGCCCCTAGTCCCCCAGGGGGGCCAGACCCACCATTTATACAAACTTTGTTTCCCTTCCCCCAAGGATGCTTTTGACCAAATATTGAACAAATCCTTTCATTTCTACAGAAGAAGAAGGATTTTAAAGAATTTGCTATATTTCCCCTGTTGGGCCCTGCCCCTCAGCCCCCAAGCTCGGACATTGAAGACAGACCATGTCCAACTCGTATACTTCGTACATCAGCGAAGACTCAGACTCTGAACCGGACAATATCGAGGGAAACAGAA